ATGAGCCACAGTCTTCAAAATTAGAGGAAGGGTTTTCACCCTTCTCCCTCCTGGCTGGCTGTGGGGCTGAGGCAAGTTCCTGTCCCCTCTGCATGCCCATGGCTGTGAATGCCCTCCCTTTCATGTCCCAGAGCACTGCAGGTTCTCTTACTCTCCCCCATGCCTGGGGAACATTGTCCTTATTCCTACAAAATTCACAATGTGGCCCTGTTACCCCACCCCACTGCCTCGTGCTACTGATGACCATGTCCTTCTGCTGCTGCTGGAGCTACCTCAGCACTGCTGAGATGTCCTGGGCTGGGCTCTGCTCTCCAAATTCACCTGACAGTGGTTGCATCCCTCCTCCTCCAGCTGTGACATTCCCCATTCTGCTGCTTGGGGAGGACTGTGCTCTTGGGACACTGGCTGACCGTGGTCTTCTCCTCTCTCTCCTCTCCTTCTCCAGGTTCCCTGGTCCAGGCAGCACTGACCCAGCCGTCCTCAGTGTCAGCGAACCCAGGAGAAACCGTCCAGATCACCTGCTCCGGGGTTAGCAGCGGCAGTGCTGTTGGCTGGTACCAGCAGAAGACACCTGGCAGTGGCCCTGTCACTGTGATCTACTGGAATGACAAGAGACCCTCGGGCATCCCTTCTTGATTCTCTGGTTTGTTCTCCAGCACTACGGGCACATTAACCATCACTGGGGTCCAAGCCGAGGATGAGGCTGTCTAGTACCATGGTGCCCCCAACGGCAGTGCTGATCAGCATCCCGGCGCCCCGCTGGGTCCCATGGGTGGATGCCCCAGGTTGACTGTTACTGTCTGCTGTGTGAGAGTGGGTTCGATCCTGACGGTGGTGCTGGAGGCTGTGGAAGTGACGCAACTGCTGGTAGTGCAGACCTGTGGTGTGGCTGGTTGCTCCTGCCCTCAAAATGTCTTATCTTGTGGCTGGTCCTGTGGCACAGAGAAGCTGGGAGAAACCTTGTCATCATCTCGGCGCATCCCGCTCTGGTCCCTGGGCTCCCTGCCAGTTCAGGGCTGATGCCCACCCTCCTCTGGTGACAGCAACTGTGCCCAAGGACCCTGTGCCTGTGTGAGAGGCTCTGCTCTGTGAGCAGGGGCTGCCTTGGGCAGGGTCCCATGCAGAAGCCCTGAAGGTTGTGGCAGGGGCTGGAGATGTCTCTGGACTTGTTGGAAGCTGTGGTAGGGATGAGGGACAGCATGGGTGGAGTTCAGTGCCGGGCTCTGCGCTCGGTTCCTCCAGTGCTGTCGCTGAGGGACTTCACGTCCCCACATGGTGTCAGTGTGGCCCCACAACCGAGTCCTGATGTTCATGGAGCAGCCAGGAGGCAAAGGGGCTGGGGACAGCCAGGTGCCAGCGTGTGACACCCTGAAGCAGGGCAGTCCCAGCAGACCCCTTTGGCGGCTGCAGTGGCCCGGAGGAACTGTGGGTTCGTGTTGCCTTACTGTTGGGTAGCCTTGAAGCTCTTGATCTCTGTGCGAGCCAGTCCCTTTTGAAATGCCGGTTCTCTGCTCTGCAGGTCTCTTGTGGCACTTAGACACCCAGTTGTGGTGGCCTCATTTGAAACAGGACCTGGTTTTCCCAGCTCCTCTGTCAGTGCTGCTGAGCAGCGCATGGCCAGCGTGGCTGCCAGGGACCAGCAAGCGCCAAGCAGAGTTGGGGGCTCCAGAGCAGGTGGATGTGTCTACGTGTTGAGGTGGGGCTGTCCCCTGCCCTGTGCACAGGAGTTGTAGGCACAGCAAGGCCATGGTCCTCCTGGGCAGGGACAGGCACTGGGTGGGCCCTGTCTGAGCTCAGAGCTCAGCAGCCGTGTTGGGGAAGGGGCAGGGACCCAGGCAGCCGCCAGCCCAGAGTGTCTCGGGGCCTTTTGGGGGCCAGAGACGTGCCCACAGCG